AGTCAGCAGATGGTAGCCAAAACCTTACCTCTATTTTGATAAAGCTGTGAGTGTGGCTTATAAGTGACTCCTGGACTGCCTTTCCAGGCAGCCCCAGGTAGCCCTGGACTAGGACAGGCCTCCCCACCCTCAGACTCTGTAGGAGCCGAGCAGGAGGAATGTGGCCCTCAGTGGGCAGCTTTCCCCAAAGGGGACAGGTGGGGGAGGGCCAGGACCCCACCATGCCAGTTCTTCCGCCTACACTCGCTGGTAACATACCCATTGCCCCTAGCTGTGAGGGAGTAGGGGGAGGCAGGGCTAGGAATGTTTTGGTAGTGGGTGTCGAGGAGGCATCAGGAGTGGCAGAGAAATTTGGCCTCATAACAAGCAAATATGGTTGAATGAGCAAGTGAATGAACTCCACCACTGTTCTGGGACCTATAGTGACAGACCCCGGGTCCCTTTGCTCGCTTTCTTTTGGAGAGCATGGTCTGACTAGGAGTTAGGAGCTAATCCTACCCGGACTGACAGAATCCGAAATTCCTGCCCCAGTCCCACACTTCCTGTTCTTAATTCCAGCTCCTGTCTGTGCAAAGCTTGCACATTAATTTCCATTCCAGAGCACTCTCTTGCCAGACCTCTGAAGAATTCAGTGTTTGCCAGTTCCATCCAATAAAAGTTTTGAGAGAGACCTTTGTTGTACTGTGAACTTCCTGTTTCGTGTCATGAACCTGTCTTCCAGGAAGGGCAGCATGGCAGGAGAGTGTGAAGATTTCTCTTTATGGAAAAGTCGAGCGCTCGTTTAATAACTCCATATTTAAAAGCACCTCCCATGTCCCAAGCACCGTGCCTTGATGAGTCAGACCTAGACCTTAGCTTTCCCCTAGAGGGGGAGAGTGTGAGGTGAGTCTCCGGTCACGATGACAGGGAAGCCCAGGGAGCTATGCATAGTGAGGGCAGGTTTAGGAGGCTGAGGCCAGGAGATCTTCCATTTGCTGGAGGGAAGCTAATGGTCTCAGGAATATTCATAGTGTATTTCTGATTACACTTTAACGAGGAACGCGGCTTAATCCTGGGGTAGACCGAGAAGTATCCCAGCTACCGTGTCTGGGAGATGAGTTAAGCTGGGGCAGGGTTGAGGGGAGCAGAAGTCCAGCCATGGATGCTTCCTGGAGATGCTGCCTCAGGGAGCTCCACCAAGCGCCTCAAGTTCCCTCTTAGAACTTTTTAAAGCAGCCTCTTCTAGTATGTTCCAGGGGAAACTAGACTTCGGGGACCTCCATAAAGGAGTCCCAGTCCAGGTTTGGTCTGTGGACGTCTGCATAGGGAAAGTCTCCTCTTCCTCTCCTTGAAGACTGAAGTGACATCAGTATGTTAAAGCCTCTGAGAAGCCCGTCAGTAAAGAAATGTACGGAAATTTATCCCAGCATTTTTCTACCAATTTGTCTATGGAATCCTTTTTCTCTGTAATACTTTGATACCACAGAACTATGCATATTACTTCTTCAGATCTTGTCTTGAAACTGTGGTGGGGGAGGGGTGGTCATCACCATGAAAACATCTGGGACACTCTTCCTTCACCCTCCACCTCTTGGGTGGTTTAGGTTTTGGTTTTGGACTCACTTCTTTGTGTTGGTTGAGCGCCACCTGTTGGCTGTTGAGAAACTTGGGATGATGGCAGTTGGACTTTCTAAAATCCTACATATTCCTCCTGAAGTTTGCCCAGTTTGATATACATACCAAGGAAAAATGAAACATTTTAGCAAACAAGAAGGAGGAAGATGAGAACCGCAAACTACAGCCTATGAGATTCAATTTCTAGCCTGTAGGGTTAAATTTCTGTCTGTATCTTCCCGCCCCCCTGACTGTAATAATTGAAGCTGCCAGCATAATGGGACTTCTCTGAGAGGATGCGCTTATGCTCCTGTCAGCCCACTTTGTTTCAAGTATCAAAGCAGGGGTGAGGTTGGGTTTGCATTTCAGCGCAATGGTTAGTTCTTCACAGAACATTGCAAGACACCAAAGGTCGTTCTCTTCCCGGAGTCCTCATTTTCCATTGTGTCCCTTCTCCTGCTTTTGTCCTGCAGCTGTCTCGCAGGTGGCAAATGCTCCATCAAGATTCACAGAAAAAGTTGCCTTTCAATTCTAGGCTTCAGCGTGAGGAAAATGAATTATAGAAAAGTTGCTTTTCCTTAAGGAAATAAAAAAATAGGAACAGTTTTCTATTTTGTTCTATTTTTTCCTGGAACTGCTGTCTGGCTTGACATCAGGTTGCTGGAAGATCTTGCAGAGGAGAGGAAAGACGGTGGACTTTGCCCAGTTGTGGGACCTAATTTACTCCGGTGTGTGCTCTGCTCTCCAGGCTCTAGTGTTTTCTGCTGCCTGGCCAGGCATGTTCTTGCTCAGTTCAGGGCCATCACAAGCCGAGCAGAAGGAACAGCATAGGTCTTCCCTCCTCTGCTTCGCTTGGCGAAGTTTCCCTTGCCCTCTAGGCCTTGGCTTAGATGTCACCTCCTCCAGAAACCCTCTCCTGACTGCTCAGACTAGGCCAGTTACGCCAGCTGTGCGCTCCTGCAGACCTCTGGTCTTCTTTGCAACACGTGGCATGTAGGCAGGACTTATGCCTCAGCAACTTGTATGCTCCATGAGGGCGAGGGACCTCATCCACCTTCTCCTTCCCTTTGCGCTGTTCTTAGCACAGGCACAACACAGGGTAGGTACTTAACACTTGTCAGATGAGTAAGGGAGTGCCAGTCTCTGCTTTCAAAGCACTTGAGAAGCAAGTGGTTCTGCAGCTACGTGGGCTCCAGGGCTAACCTTTGACCTAGTCTTTCTTCACTGGTATTGAGAGCGGGCACATGGGTGGCACCTTTTTCCTCCTGTGGAGGAGGAGCCTAATGACATTGGTGACAAACACAAAAGAAAGGACTATTCAAGTTAGGAGGTGTTAAAAATCAGGCCTTTTGGTAATAACTTAAATCTTAGATGATTGGGCTGGCCGAGTGGTGTAGTGGTTAAGTTCGCACGCTCTGCTTCAGCGGCCCAAGGTTTGCAGGTTCGGATCCCAGGGCAGACCTACACACCACTCATCAAGCCACACTGTGGCCATGCTGTGGTGGCATCCCACATACAAAACAGAGGAAGATTGGCACAGATCTTAGCTCAGGGCCATTCTTCCTCACACACACACAAATCTAGGTAATTGAGATGGGTATTCATATCTTACATTTATATTTTGCTTTAGGGTTTACCAGTTGTGTGTGTCGCATACATACGTACACATACACGTTCTCTCATCTAATCCTTATTAAAACATTCTGCAGGCAATGATATTATTCTGATTTTTCCCAGGAAACTGCTGTGTCAGAAAAGCTAAGTGACTGTAGAAGTTGCCGAGCTAGGATGCAATTATGCAGTAGAGGCTGCAAAACAGCAAGCTGCTGGCTGTTGAACTTAGGTGGGAGCTGATCAACATGGAGGTGGGTGAGAAGTCCGTTTGCACTGGGGAGAGACAGAAAGGAAGGTGTGTGACTAGTTTGAAGCGCCTAACCCTGTAAGCTGAGGCTGCTGCTGTCCCTTTGTCCCTCAGATTCTAAGAGGATGTGCTGTGACATTTTCTCTGTGGAGGTCACAGCCTCCTGGCCTGTGTAATTGAAAGCCTGCCTCCATGCTGGGTTGGGTGGAGGGAGGCATGAAGTTTTTGCCAGGTGTACAGCCAGCGGCTTTTGCTTTATAAACCAGATTTTCAGGTGCAGGTAATGTTTGTTGCTTGGGCACTGTGTTTGACGACCCTTGCTGTTGTGACTGTTGGCACATCTCTGCTCGTCACGTGGGTTTTCTGAAGTGGGTTTGGAAAAGGGACAGGTCTGTGGCCTGTGGTCAGGGAGAACCTGCACCCCCTTTAGTGTGGACCAGAAATAGTGCTGTGCCCATCTCAAGCCATCTGAAAAAGGGAAACCCTATGCTGGTGGCTCAGAGATGGTTCCTGGCAAAGCCCTCGGAAAAACTAAACTGTCTGAGAAGGCTGTGCCACCAGGGAACTTCCCTTGCCTGCTGTTATCTTGGTTTGCAGGGATCTTTAACTCATTCAGCAAAGAATGATTACATGAGCCCCTGCTATGTGCCAGGTTCTGTGCTGGGTGCCTAGGGCAAGTGATGCCTGAGGGCCCTCTGTTTGAGAACCTGCAGTCTAATGGAGGGACGTGTGGGTACAGATGTTGCCATATGGAGTGTGAACGGTGCTGTGTTAGAGGTTTGAATAGTCTCAGGGAACCCTGAAGGAACTGGCAGCAGCCTGGGAGAGGCCCGTGCTGGCTCGGAGGAGATGGTGTTTGAGCAGCATTTTGCAGGATAAGCAGGTTGGCAGGGGCGGAGGGAGCTCCGTGAAGAGTGAGGACGTGTGTGCAGAGGCTTGGAGGCAGTGGAGGGCTCTGCAGGTTCTCGGGCCAGTGGGATGTTTGGGTGCCTGGTTTGTAAGTGCCTCGTGAGGACTGGTGGCAAAGGACATAGGCCGAAACCAGGTTAAAGGAGCTTGGCTTTCATTCAGGGGCCAGCAGATTTCTTTCTGTCTTTTTTTTTCCAGCTTTATTGAGATATAGTTGACATATAACGTTGTGTACGTTTAAGGTATGCAACGTGATGATTGCATACACATATATACTGCAAAATCAACAGATTTTTAACTTCTAATTGTGGGAAATTTAAAAGACATGCAAAAGTAGATAGAAAAGAATACTGAACCCCACGTACCATTACCCGGCTTCAATAATTACCAGCCTACCACAATCCTATTTCCCCCATACCCTGACACATCAGCACCTCCACGCCCACCCCCACCCCCTCCCTACTCCATATTACTTTGAAGAACGCCCAAAGTGATTTGCATTTTCTATCAAGCCTAGTCTGTGGCTTGTAATGGATTAATCCAGAATTTTGAGGCCTAGAATGATCGGATGGCACTATTGATTTCATTTCATTTTCAGAGGAACCACTGAGTTTCCCCTCTTCATCTTGCCTTTCAGTGGAAAGTTGGTGTCTCCAAAGTGGAAGAATTTCAAGGGCCTGAAGCTCCAGTGGAGAGATAAGATCCGGCTCAATAACGCCATCTGGCGGGCATGGTACATGCAGTGTAAGTGCTCCGTGAGCTGGGAGCAGGAGGAGACTGCAGTGGCCCCAAGGCCTTGTGGGGGGCAGACCTCCAGTTATGACCACCTGGAGGCCTTTGTACCTCAGGGCCCAGGGTCTGCTCTTGGAGCATTGTGTTTCAAACAGAAGTCTTTCTTGAGCAGTCTGCAAAGATAGGAAAACCAAGCTAAATCCTAGAAATCCTGGTGCACTGGACACTGATTGGCCATCAGGCACAGGGGCCAGTCATATTGTCTGTGTCATGAAGGTGCCCATAGTCTGCAGGAGATGGACGCATTAGCTAGCTTTTCACTGTTATAATAGACGCTTGGGCCCAGTGTTGTAAAGGCAGAGCCAGGGAGAGGGGTTAGTTCTTTTCAGAGGAGTCAGGAAGGACGTAGCGGAGAGGTAACATCTGAATCCCCTGAAGAGTCAGGGAACAGTTCCCATTTCAGCAGGTGTAAGAGGATGCAGGCCCTTGTTCTCTCGCCAGCTGGCTTGCATACCAGTGGATCCGGTGACTTCTGCAGATCAGCGTGTTGGGCCATGCTTGGGTTAGGCCGATGTGTCTCTTAATAAGCCAGACTCTCTTTCTTGCCCACACAATATTCATGGATTCTTTTCCTTTAACCTGGATTCCTTTATTTGTCCAAAACCTCATTTTCTAAGGGAAGGAGAAGGAAAGAACACTTGGGAGGGTCCCACCTGAGGGGAGGCCTGTGGACAGAAGGGTAGGGCTCCTTTGGGGCTCTTAGTCATAGTGATGACGTCTCACCCTCTCTCTGCCCAGATTTGGAGAAGCGCAAGAATCCCGTGTGCCACTTTGTCACTCCCCTGGACGGCTCTGTTGAAGTAGATGAGCATCGCCGGCCAGAGGTACCTGGCGTGGGATCATCGGTGGCCGGGACGGGAACCCACCCCACTCAGGAGACACTCAGTGAGGGCTAGGAGCGAGGCTTGGGTTCTGCAGTGGGAGACCACTGGGAAGAGTGCTGGGGCTGCGCTGTCCCATCAGCTGTTGTGACCTTGGAAAGCGATGGGGACATGGGGGGCGGAGGCTCTCCCCTTCTCAGACTAGACCTGCCCAAGGACCAAGGGATTCTCCAATCAGGACTTACCCTCTGCTTTCATTTAAAATTGGTGTTTCTCTGTAAGTCAACAGGGGGCGATTCTGGCTCCTTACAAGGCAGATATCTTTAACAGTTAAAGAATGACCTCAAGGTCTGTATGTACTGAGATGGAAAGATGTTGAAGAAATAGTAAATGAAAAAAAGCAAGTTGCACTACAGTATTTTAGTATCTTTACATTAATTTTAAAAAGTGTGTATCTGTATGATTATGCATGATAGGAAATGTCTAGAAGGATATGCAGAATCTCTTACTAGTGAGTATGTCAAGGGCGTGGGATTAGGGTGAGGAGGAGGGGAGAATTATTTCTCTTTACATTCTTCTACATGGTTTTAATCTTGTCCAAGCATGTCCTACTGTTAAGAAAAAAGGGGAAAAATTTGAAAGTAACCTAATGAACTACAGTTTTGAGCAGTCGGACATGATGTGTTTTAGACAATACAGTCATGCGCCACATAACTACGTTTCAGTCAACGACAGATTGCATATATGACAGTGGTCCCATAGGATGAGTACCACATAGCCTAGGTGTGTAGTAGGCTACACTGTCTAGGTTTGTGTAGGTACACTCTATGATGTACACGCAAGGAAGAAATCACCTAACAGCACATTTCTCAGAATGTGTCCCTGTCGTTAAGCAACACGTGACTGTATTAAGAAATGTCATTTTGCTAGGTCGGGTAATAATACTGTGCTGTGAAGATTCTTCACTGTTAGAGACACACAATGGAGTCCCAAAAAGGGTGAAATTATATGGGACTTCTGATATCTAGGACTTGCTTTAATATACTCTAGTCATAAAGAAGAAGGAGTCCGAAAGAGAAGAGGGCGCTCTAGCATTCTTCAAGGATAGCGTGGAAAGGACTCATGCCCTGCATAATGGAAAGGTTGCGTAAATGCCCTTGAAAGTCACTTTCCACCTGAAACTTCTGTGATTGCCCATTTGTTTTCACCCTTTGAAAATGTGGCAGAGGCCACTGGAAAAGGGGATGTGGGTGCTACCCATGATCTCTGTAGGGATCCTCCTACACTGGCATGGAGGGGCTTTGTACGTCTTGCCTGCCTCAGCATTCTGTCTTGACGCTATGCTCCAATCCAGATCTTCAGGACCTGTGGCTAAAGCCCCACTGGGTTATCTAGGTCATGAGATGAAAGCTCATCTTTAGAGGCTGCTGTAGCACAGAAGAGGTGGGACCCTTTGTGAATGAAGTTGTAGGCACGTCATAGGGTTCTCTGAGCTGGATTGCTCAGGACTGACTTCCAGCGTCAGACACTTCTTTGTTCACGGGTTGAGTTCTGCTGGTCAACCAAGATGCTGTCTTTTTGTTCTGACCTGCCTCTCTCTCATAGGCCATCACCACAGAGGGGAAGTACTGGAAAAGCCGCATTGAGTTTGTAATTCGGGAATATCACAAGTGGAGAACCTACTTCAAGAAAAGGGTATCCGGCTTGGGCTCCAAAAAGAGCATGTTCAGGAAGTTCCCGTAGGGGAGGGTAGGAACTGAGTTTCCTATTCAGAACACTGGCCCCAAGGCTGTGGCTTCATGGCTCTGACCCCACCCCTCCGCCCCAGGGGTGTGGAGGACCGAGTAGGACTGGAATTCTACTCAGGGAGGGGCCTGCTTTGGTCGTGTGACGTGTGCTCTCACTTTCTCCAGCTGTGAATCAGGGCTGTTTATCCACAAACGCTGGCTGGGAATCTCCTGTGCCGGCATCAGCCTAGGGATGGCAGGGAGCAGGGTCCCTCTCTCTACATACCTCCGGGAGAGAAAAGGCCTGGATGCTTCCAGAGTTCATTCACCCCTGGGGAGGAGAGGCTGAGGGCCTCATCCACTCCCAGGGCCCTGGGTGACCACCTGGTCTCTCTCCTTCTCTCCACAGCTACAGCAGCACAAGGATGAGGACCTCTCCAGCCTGGCCCAGGTGAGTAAGCCTGGAGGACATAAGGACCCTCATGGGAAACCCCCTTTGACAAGGAACAGCTCGGTGGCCCCACAGTGAGCCCTGTAGCAGAAGGTGATGGGGGCACAAACTCTCCCTTTGGCTCGGGGAGGGACTACTCCCTTCTCAAAAGGAGGGCTAAGGAAATGGGCCCCTTCTCTCTGCCAGGTGGGCTGGAGGGGTGCTCCCTGCATTTCTGGAGCACCTGCTGCTCCATAAAGTAGGGTAACATATTCCCCAGCATAGCGTAATTGGGAACCTGGGTCCTCTGTTGACCCTTTGAGTTTTCCTTCCCCCTCTGTTGGCGGTAGGATGATGACATGCTTTATTGGCACAAACATGGGGATGAATGGAAGACCCCCGTCCCCATGGAGGAGGACCCACTGCTGGACACAGACATGCTCATGTCAGAATTCAGCGACACTCTCTTCTCCACACTTTCCTCACATCAGCCGGTGGCCTGGCCCAACCCTCGGGAAATAGGTAACCCACCCCTAGATCCTTGACTTTGAGCACCCAGCTGGTTTGCTTCTCTGCCAGGCACCCCCAGGGGCAGGCCTCACCTCAGGGCCATCTCTGAGCTGCTCGGTGTCACTTATCTAGGGTAGGCAGTAAGGAGAAGGATTGGCCAACCTCACTGACATCTGAGGACCACATGCACTGAGTGGGTAACACTGCAAATTGAGTCTTCCTGGGCAGCTTCCTGGTGGCGCTGTGAGAAAACAGCGAGGGGGTTTGGTTGGAATCAGTTTCACATTTCTGATACTGTCCTCTTAACAGAGCATATGTGCCTAGGCCGAGTGATAGGACCTGGGACTCACTCTAAAGAAAATCAGAAGAATTCCTGGGCACCACGTCTCACCTGGTGGCATTCAGTTATGCAGTCAGCTCCTCAGGGAAGAGCCCACAGACTAAAAATTAGAACCAGGGGATCTCTGCATGGTTGTTCATGGCTTCCCGGGGGTGTCTCGTCCCTGATGTACAATTTGCCTTTCTTGTAAAAACTTTCTTTCGTGCCTTCTGAGAGTGGAGAATGACCATGAACCACAAGAAGGTAGAAATCCAAGCCAGCTGCCTGCATTTGTCCTTGGAAGACTCTAGAATGTGAGCAGGGCCAGGAAGGTCCATTCCAGGCCTTTTGTATGTTCCTACAACGTTGTCTGAGAAGGCAGAATGATTCCTCTGTCTCCTTTCTGATTCCTGCAGCACATCTGGGCAATGCAGACATGATTCAGCCGGGGCTGATTCCCTTGCAGCCCAACTTGGACTTCATGGACACCTTTGAGCCTTTCCAGGGTGAGGACATGGGCAGAGAGAGAGCATGGCTCCTGGATCTCTTTGCCCAGGACACAGTGGATTCGTGCTTCCGTTTCATAGAGGGAACTGTTAGAATGGGCAAGGGGAAGATGTGGAATTTTTCCAGAACTGCCCTTTTTTTGGTAGTAGCTGCAAGGTCTGGGAAATTTTTCTGGGGCATTGTTCTCTCAAGGAAATTGTCATTCTCCTTCTCACAGTCTTAGAGCCTTGGTTTTGGCCGTGTCTATAAGCAGTTCTCCCTCTAGGCAGCAGAGGGCGCTGACGACATAGCCGCCTCCCAGCGGTTTCCTGCAGTTAGAACTGGTCCTCGAGCTCGCCTTTGTAAGAGTGAGTGAAAGGCCAGGCTGGGAGTATTTCAGAACCCACACTGGTTGCCAGAATGTGCGGTTCCAATCAGAGGACCTCTTTCTGCAGACTTAACTGGGGGGGTGCTTTGGCTATGACACTCCTCTGGGTGAGGTGGGGTTCAGTGTCTGATTTGTTTGGATCTTAATTCAAGAAAGTGATGGGTACGCGGAGCTGAAAAGCCCCTGGTGTTGTCTTTCAGACCTCTTCTCTTCCAGCCGCTCCATTTTTGGCTCCATGCTGCCTGCACCCACCTCAACACCTGCACCAGATCCCAACATCCCAACTGCTCAGGTAGAGGATGCTGGGGGTTAGGGGCATAGGACTGGTCATGAAAGCTCTGCAGCCAGGGCTAGACTAATGACATAACCAGGCAGTCATAAGCAAAGTGCTAGGGGTTGCTAGATGTAGTGCTGAGCACACGTCTGATATGTTAAAGAAATTGTTCTAGCCTTCCTTGAAAGCATCTGTAAATATCCATGAGGTGGGAGACTGTCTGTAAACATATGCTCCTGCCTAAGGCTCCAGATAACCTGTGCGCAGCAAGCTCTGTTCTGATCACTTAAGACAAGATTAGCAAGACAGCAAAGAAAAGAAATGTGGATCACTAATAAAAAGAAGTTCTGTGTATTTCTTTTACTTTTTACTCAGCAATCTACACAGGTTGGTTACCAGGTGCCAGGGCTACAGAGCTGAGTGAGGCACGGCTCTTTGCACTGAAGGGGCTCTCAGGCTGGTGCCTGTATCCTGATAGACACCAGCAACCTGGCCTGCTCTTCTTCCATCTGGCTGTGGGAAGAGTTTCTTCTATAGAGCCTGAGACCTGAACAATCAATTCCTTCTAGCATTTCCCTTTTAGGAAGAGGTGACCTCTCTAGAAGTTGATACATGAAACTGTCCTGGGGGAACCCCATGAGCAGCTGTGATCCAGGCTGCCTGTGCTCTGTAACAGAAGATGGCAGGGACTTTGGGGGACCCCTGCTGGATTGCAGAAACAAGATAGTCCCAGGCCGAGAGCCAGCTGTGTGCAGACAGTTGCTTTGTCTGAGCCATGTTATCATTAGTTCCTTATGGAAACAAGACCCCTGCAGACGCCAGGGGAGGCCCAGATCATCTCCCCAGATCAGCAGTAACGGGGATGAGAGACATGGCCTTTGTCCCTTCTGTCCAGGGGTTCGTCTCAGGCACCGATGTCTGTTGGGCTTTGTGGTGTGTAGCGCTAGAAAGTGATGGCGGGTTATGGAACCCCAGCATTTGTTCCTCTCTTCTCTCTCTTCCTTTCTCAGGAGAGCATCCTACCAACCACCACTCTCCCCACTGTGAGCCTCCCTGACAGCCTCATCGTGCCCCCCACAGCCACTGCCCTGGACCCCACGGATGAGCAGGGCTGTGAACATGCTCCCCGGCCTGGGGACCCCTTTATCCAGCCTGCAGACTTTGGTCCCTCTGCGCCGCCACTGAGTGTCCCACAGCCTTTCCTCCCCCTGTTCACCGTGCCGCTGCTCTCTCCCAGTCCTGCCCCAGTGCCTGTGTCCCCTCCCTTGCCTTTGGTCCCTCCTCCTGCCACTGCCCTGACCCCTCCAACTCCACCTGCTTTCCTGCAACCGCAGAAGTTTGCCGGAGTCAGCAAGTCGCCTTCCGTCATCACCCACACGGCCTCTGCCACCCTTACCCACGATGCCTCTGCCACCACCTTCAGCCAGAGCCAGGGCCTTGTGATCACAACCCACCACCCCAACCCCTCAGTGTCCTCCTGTGGCCTGGCACTGTCTCCGGTCACCCGGCCACCGACTGTTGGGCCTCCCCAACCTCGCTTAACTTTTGTGCACCCCAAATCTGTATCTATGTCTGGCGGGAGGCCTAAGCAGCCCCCCAAAATAGTGCCTGCTCCCAAACCAGAGCATATGCCCTTGGTGTTGAAGAATGCTTGCATCGCCCCAGGTGAGTCAGGTGGAGGAAAGCCAAAGCGTGACCCCTGCCTCCCCCGAGAGGGATATTTCCTATCTTCAAGGCTGCAGACTCCTGACATGCACACATTGTGATATAAAACATAAGTGTTTGGGGTTACTACGTGTGTATGATCCAGTATCTTTTCTATTCTGTGTTGTTCTCTGAAAGTTAGTCTCAACCCAGTTTGAAAAAACATGGTCCTGGTCATCTCGTCCTGGGTCTGTAATCTGTCCCCTTCAAGAAGTTGTAAAAAATGTCAGGTGCACTGGTGGCTTTGTCCTTCCGTGCCCTGCGGTGAGGAAGGCAGTGTCTCAGCGGCAGCTCATGGGTCGTTGCTCTCCTGGGGAACCCCACTGTGCAGCTTGGCTGGGCCTGGGTTCAGTCACAGTGTTGGGAGCAGGCCCCCGTGCCTCGGGGCCTCCACCCTCACCTTCTTGTTCTGGCAGCTGCCTTTTCAGGACAACCACAAGCAGTGATTATGACATCAGGCCCTCTGAAGAGAGAAGGGATGTTGGCTTCTACCGTGTCGCAGTCCAACGTGGTCATCAAGCCTGCTGCCATTGCCAGGGTGAGGGGACCCTGGACAGACCCTCAGCATCCTAATAATCCCAGCGTGACCCTGGTCTTGGATGGCCCTCACCTCACATGACTGGTTGGGGGTGACCTCTTTATACTCTGTCACCTCAGGCTCCTGGAGTTACGGAGTTCCACAGTGGCATCCTAGTGACAGACCTCGGCCGCCCCTCGAGCAGCCAGCCCGCCCCCGTCTCCCGGCTCTTTTCGCCAAGCACAGTGCAAGATTCCCTGGTGAAGGGCGAGCAGATCCCGCTGCACGGGGGCAGTCCCCAGGTCCCTGCCACGGGTTCCAGTGAGTGTTCACTCCAGTTGGAACGATTAGGACTTCGTGAGTGAAACGAGCAGGCCCACTCCTGGACTGGGGAGGCCACCCGGGGGTGCCCCAGGATTGAGCCTGGGTTTTCAGGCTGTGCAGGGAGGTCTCGTAAGCCTGCAGTGGCCCAGCCTAGGGAAATGCTCAACACAGGGCAGGATGCACCACAGTAAAGCAGGAGACATGGTGCAGTGTAGGCAACTCGTGTTCTTGGGGAAGTGCATCTCCTAAACTACTTCAGAAAGGCCTGGCTCTGAGCTGCCAGTTCTGATCGAGAAAAAGGATTGAGGAGTCCTCGTCATGGTTTTCAGAAAAGGTGAGCCTGGGGTTGCTGCAGCCACAGAAGCCACCCAGCCTTGTCTCCACATCAGTGTTGTTGTCCCTTACAGCTTTCAGGCACTGTGCATCCGTGAGTCCGTTCCACATCTTGGGCCTTCTGTTAGTGAGACAGTCGGGGTAGGACTGATTTTGTCCAGTGACATCTGAAGAGCCAGGAGGTCAGGGATAAATGGTTTTCCTGAGGCTGTGCTGCTGCTGGTGGGGGTGGAACCCCGCCTCCTTCCTTTCAGATGCCACATCAGGAAGGGAAACCAAAAGTGTCTTCTTGTCTAAAATAAAACCATGGTGTGGCTACTCGTGGAACTGTGTGCCAATAGTTATCTTGCCTCTGCCTTGAAAAGATGCAAGGGGGAAAAGTCTCTACTTAGAGGGGTCAGACAGGGGAACTTCTCCAAGGACATGTTTTGAAGAATAAGGACCTTTAGTCTGGAAAGATAAAGGTGCAGAATTGTTGTTTTAATTAAAAAATTTTTAAGAGTGGGTCAGAGTGAAAAAAAGTGTAAGAAAACATCTATGTAGAGTTTAAAGAACAAAAGTAAAGCAGATGCCTGTTTACTCAGCGCCCAGGGGAAGAAGTGGAGCCTTACACACCCTGGAAACTCCTGGTTGCCTCCAGGTGGCTTCGTAGGAGGCTGTCAGGAGTGGCCTCCTCTCAAAAGCCCCATGTTCCCCAAGGCCTATGACTGGCAGAGCTCAGGCCACATTCCCACTCCACGTCCAGCCAGCCTTTGTCAGGCCTTGCTCAGGCCTAGCAAAACCCCCCTAAGGATGTTAGCAGGGATTTCTCTAGTTTTTGCTCTGGAACCTTTATGGGAGGTTCAAGGTGGGTTTCCGAGTCTCGGGACTTCCTGGGGGTTTCCTTCATGGGTGGGGACTGCTGTGGCCGGCACAGCCTTGCCGAGCCCACGTCTCCAGCACTGTCCTAAGAGGCATCTCCATCTTCTCAGGTCGAGACTGCCCGAACTCAGGGCAGGCCTCTCCGTGTGCTTCGGAACAGAGCCCCAGTCCTCAGTCTCCCCAGAACCACTGCTCAGGGAAACCTGCAGACCCCAAAAACATGGCTGCTTTAAAGGTATCATACACTTCTCCCAGGTCTTGATTCCCCTGGAAAGATGAGGAGGCAAGGAGGAGAAGAATATCAGGGACCTCCCCTACTAGGGCCACCCTGGAGAGACCCATGGGCTCTGCTGGTACTCCACCAGGCTGGGGTAGCATCAGAAAGGGACATTTGCTGCTTTAATCTTGAGATCAAGTCGGCTCCTCCCATTCCCCACCCACTAGCCACCTCGAGGTGATGGCGGCCCTTTGCCCAGGAACCACCACTGAATCCTCGCGCTGTGGGGGAGCTGGCAGCCATGAGGAGTGGGTCAGTAGACAGATGTTGGAGGGTGGCTTGGAAGTGCCCGGTCAGCAGCATTCATTGAGAGTTGTTTCCAGCTCCTGCTGCTGCCTTCTGCAGAGATCGTTTTCTAGCATCTTGTCCTGTCCCCCTCCCGGCTCTTACTGGAGCCTTTTAGCTTTCTGGTGCCCGTCCTTCCACATACCTCTCTAGCCCAGCTGCAGGGTCCTCGTCTGCCCCAGCCATGCAGCAGCAGGTTGGGAGGGAGGAGGGGAGGGATGAGGGAACTGGCCCTGCAGCAGCCCTGTATCACAGTGATGGTTGATTCCCCAACAGAACCGGCAGATGAAGCACATTTCAGCTGAGCAGAAAAGGCGCTTCAACATCAAGATGGGCTTTGACACCCTGAACAGTTTGATCTCTAATAATTCCAAGCCAGTAAGTGGCCTGGGGGTGTTGGGTGAGTGAGGGAGCCGATAGGACAGCCGAGAGCTTTCTGCATCCCATGCATTGGCCTTGGTGTTGGGTGGACATGCAGGGTCACTGTGGGCACTGCTCTGACCGGCCGCTCCTTCTGCAGAGTAGCCATGCCATCACGCTGCAGAAGACCGTGGAGTACATCACCAAGCTGCAGCAGGAGCGGGGCCAGATGCAGGAGGAAGCCCGGCGGCTGCGGGAGGAGATCGAGGAGCTCAACGCCACCATCCTGTGAGGCTGGGGGCTTGGGGGCTCCGGGACGGGGCCTTGTCCTCTCACATGTGCGTGACACAGAGGCAGGGGGACCCTTTGTGGTGTCGTGGCTGATGGATGCCTCTTTGTTGCAGCACTTCAGCTTTTTGTCATCCTCTTCCTTCCCAGACCTCTCCTCTTGGGCCAGCCGTGGCCAGCAACAGGCTGGCTCTGCCCATCTGGTGCCCAGGGTCCGAATTTGCCACTGGCTGCTCTGAGCTTCCTCTGACTCCTCCTGTTATTTCAGCTCCTGCCAGCAGCTACTCCCTGCCACGGGAGTCCCTGTTACCCGGCGCCAGTTTGATCACATGAGAGACATGTTTGACGAGTATGTAAAAAGCCGGACCCTGCAGAATTGGAAGTTCTGGATTGTATCTTTGGGTTTTCTTCGTTCCTCCTACTCTCCCACCCAGTGCACTGAAACAACAGACATTGTTGTTGACACTGTGGTTCCTTTAGAAGGGTTCTCTTTAAATGTTGTCATTGAGTTCGTCAGGACAGGCAATTCTAGTTCCTGCCCTGGGAGAGAGGGGCCTGGCCAGGCCTGTGGTGTGGGTGGGGCTGTCCTTGGTGACTGTCCAGGCTTGGGGCTTCCCTGGGAGGCAGAGCAATAATGTGGCAAGGAGGTGGGATCTAGTCTAACGTATCCCAGCAGCCAGCTCAGTCCCTACGACAGTGGGAAGGGCGGGTACCACAGAAAACCGGGACTCTCAAAACTAACTCAGTGGCAGAGGCTGGATTTGAAACCAGTTCCCTCCAGGCTATTCTCTGCGTTTGTGCCGCATGGCCTTGAATGCTGTCATGAGGCACGTACCCCTGAGTACTGGGGTCTGTCCCTGCGGCCAAGGCCTCCCTGCACTTGGCCTTCTAGGTGGTGGCAGGGCCCTTACAGAGGCAGCTCCTGCCTTGTCACTCTCCACCCTCTGAGCAGACAGCCCGCACACGTGGTGGGTCTGCCACCGCCACCCGGCCGTGGGTCTGACAGACTGAGGAGGCAGTGCGGGAGGAGAGAATCAGCACCGCGTCAGCTCTGACAGGGCAGGTGGCTTCTGTGTGCACTCTGATGGCTGGTTTATAAAAGAGGAGGTGGCCGGCACCAGCTCCAGTTCCCTACTTTGTGTTTTATTGGCTGGCTCTGGTCCTGATCCCTTATCACTGATGGAGCTGGGTGGCAGCGGGGATGAGTTAGAACCTCATAGTAAAATGGCGCATTCCCCTTCAGGCTGAGGCGTTGGGACTGTGGGTGCTATCCTGGCTCAAATCAAAGAGAAAACAGGCTTCTGACCTCACGAAGCAGATTGCCTAAGATGATTTGGGACACCTGCACAGAATATGATTAAGAGCCAGCATATGTGTGTTTAACACAAAAGACACACATGATCTATCTCTAGACAGATCTACCTTTCAGTCTGCTGTGTGCCTCCAATATTCTTGCCAGTACACATAAAAACTGTCACGTTCATGTCGTTGTATCAGGACCTATTCCAGACCAAATGCCTCCGGCCTCCTCAGTGGTTATCACTTGCGCTCAGTTATAGTTAGAAACATTTTAGGTGAATGCAAGGAAACACTTACCTTGTCTAGATCTCTCTCCCTCTCCCTCCCTTCCTTCTCCCCCTTACCCCCCTACCCCTCTCCCTGTGCACAATTACTTGCCAATCCCAAGGGAAGTCGGTCTCAGGCAAGCCCGTAACTGGAATTCATTCTCCCCATGCTCCATTGCACATACCTGGGCCTCCTCCTTGCTTACGTTTTCTTTAACCCACGTGCCATGCAGTTCAGTATCATCATCAAGCCGCTGTTTGAGTCCTTCAAAGGGATGGTGTCCACCAGCAGCCTGGAAGAACTGCACCGGACGGCGCTGTCCTGGCTGGACCAGCACTGCTCCCTGCCCGTCCTCAGGCCAAGTGAGTGGGGGCTGCACGGGTCATGGGGCCACGGGGGCTTTGCCAGCCCCTTCATGCTGGTCCCAGAGAGAGGAGGGCCCTTAGCTACAGATAGTGCTGAGGACACCCAGACTCCACTGCAAGGGGCAGAGCGCACGAGGGTGCTGCTGTGCAGGAGGCCCAGAGCCAGAAATGCCGCCTGCTCGGCAGGGAGCCAGTCTCTAGCACTTCAACTGTAGCTCCCCACCATCTGTGTGTGTCACTTTGATCCAATCCGGCTCACATTTGCTGAGCACCTCCTATTCACCAGGCCCTGTCTCGGGTGCTTTCAGAAATCTTTTCTTGTTTAATTCTTAGGATAACTGAGGTTAGAGAGGTGTAATATTGAAACAAATGGACAAGCAGGAGCAGCTTGGGGTTCTCCGACCTGCAGGTGGGAGGTGGGGTTCAGAGGTCTGTCGCAGAGGCGCGAGTGCCTGGATCCCAGCAGCGAGGTTCTCCTGGGTCTGCCAGTCGAGCTCGGTGCCTCCCACTTTGGCAGGCATGAGCATCACCAGGCGAGTTGTATATAAGAACGTGTGTACTGTCCATTGTGGGGCTCGAAGCTGCCGCGCGTGCCTCTGTCCCCAGGCTAACCCCCCTCCTGTCTTCCAGTGGTGCTGAACACCCTCCGGCATCTGAGCACCACCACCTCCATTCTCACAGACCCGTCCCAGCTGCCGGAGCAGGCGGCAGAGGCTGTCACCAGAGTTGGCAAGAGATCGGGGGAGTCTTAGCAACGCTTAGCAGGCATGTGGCTGCATGAGATGCCACGGAGCCCCTTCCCTGCCTGTGGAGAGGAGTCTGCGCCCACGCCTCTCCTGACACAGAGCCTCAGGACCTTCCTTCTACTCTGCTGGCCCATCGGGCCACTCAGAATGCCATGCTCAGGTCTGAAGCAGGTTCGGGTCCTGCCAACAGCAATAGCCCATCTTTGGGAAGCCCTTGCTGTGAACTCTCACTCAGTGACCTCCGTCACCGACCTCGCCTCCCCTTGGAGCAGCCCAGACAAAGGGGAACACCGCCCGGTCCAGTGCTGTCCTGTCTTGCTGGTGGTGTGTCAGGGCCACAGCACCAGCGTGGGGAGTAGATGGGTCAAGAGGAGGCAACGCCTGCTCCTGCAAGTTAGGAAACTTCAGGGTGCTTCCTGGTTCCTGTCTTGAGACTTACAGATGTTCCCTCCTGTCACATCCTGGGCACTTGTACTGTTGGGAACGACTCCCTGTGCCCACTCTGGCCCGCCTGTGGAGCAGCTAGAAGGCATCTTCATCCCCTGACTCTGACCTTATCGGTGGACCTGGATGTCTGCTCAGGCTTATGCATGGTGGGCTGCCTTCTCCCACCGCTTGGGCTGCTGGGGGAGCCCCCAAACACACGTGTGCAAAAGCAGGTGTGGGTGCCTGTGGGACGAGAAGGAAAGCACAACAACGCAAAGCTGCTACGCTGGCTTGGACTGTGCTCTCGGGCAACGTTTTAATCTGTCTTGATTTAGTTCCACGTGGCATTGCAGCATCCATTGGATCTCTGATTTGAGAATCACGACGAGGACTCAGCCCGGGCCTCCTCAGGCATCCTCACCACATGGCCCTTCTACCCTTGTTCTCCACCTGATTCCAGGCTGCAGCCACAGACAAGCCAGCTGTGCCTGATGGACACTCGTGGTCCTTAGGGTGTAGTGTTTGAAAGGCCAGACTCCACGGTGCTGCCGTCAGCCTGGTCCTCTTGTCTGGATTGTTCAGCCGGGAGCTCCAAACCATAAGAGTTCTCGGACCAAAGATGTCACCATGCCCAAAGTCTGTCTTGTCTTGTATTTGGAAGAAGAAATTGAATGTTGACAGGCAGAACTCCAAGGTGGCCAGCCTCGGAGCTGTCTAGGCATCTCCCAGATCAGACAGTAAAGAATTATACTCAGATTTGATCAAGGTAGAGGAATTTGTGGGGGCAGTGGGCTGTCTCTGAATGTGCGAATTGCAGTTGGAGGGGTTCAGAGGAAGGGGTAGCAGGAGGGCGGGTCCGGGGCTCCCTGCGTCTGCATGGGTGGCCGCAGGTGGACGGGCGCTCTCTCCGACACTCAGGAAGCCCAGCCACGGGCACCTCCTCGCTGACAGAATGTGCTTTTAACGTCCTGCTGTGAAGTTCAGAGCCAGCAGGCTTTCCATTCCACCTCTGCTCTTCCTGCCAGAGATGGAGACCGGGCAGTTCTAGGCAGGCCAGGATGGGCTTTGAGGGAGCCGAGGAGCCAGGGGGGACTGGGGGAGGGTACCACGTGCTACCCCCGAAGTTCGGAGGCTCCCACTGCTTCGGAGGCCTGCAGAAGGTCCTCAGAGGACAGCCAGCCCCACCTCAGCTTCGGTTGATGGAGGACAGACGGGGACCGTCTCCCTGCTAATGTCTATGCCACAGGTCACTGACCAGTCGCCTGCTCCTGTGTCTCTCTTCAGCCCCGTGGAAGAGCAGCTTGGCAGCACCCCTGAGCACCCCCAGAAAATGTGTTTACAGGTCTTCTGCATCACTTTCCTGAGGGGTGAGCCCTAGATGAGGCTGGGCTGGTCCATCATGCCCACTGGGAAGTGGTAAGAGAACCCGTCCTTCACCCCCTAGATAAATATGAAGTTGCCCTTTGAAAGGAGAAACCCCTGTGGTAAGAATTCTGCTAGGGTCACAAGAAAAACACGAAACATGTTCCCAGCCGTGAGGGCTCGTGGAGGGTCCTGAGCCTGACCCCTCGGCCTCTTCCCCAGTTTCTGTGCCTTCGTAAGCCGCGTGGATGGCCACAGTGCTCGGCTTGCCAAGACCTCTCCAAAATCGATAGCTTTCTCCCCACCCTTTGCTGGGCATCATCTTTTTAAACTCCGTGGGATATGAAATGGGCCTCTTGCTTCTTTGGCCTAACTCTCTTCTTTCCCTTTTGCTGATTGAATGTTTGTGATTCTGTTAAATATTTAAGGCTGTTAGGTTGTGTGAGACTTTGAAGGGTGTGTGTGTGTCCCAGCAGACTGTTACTAGATGCACGTTTCTGTTTTGAGATCTTTCTTAAATCCATTTCTCTTGGTGCTCACCATCACCACAGCTGTAGGGCCACAAAGCTGTATTTCTTACTATAGACATGATTGTCTCTTGTCTCGCAGTTTTCGTGTTTCAGAATCTTGTCCGATGAATCTCAGGGGCCTAGCCTCAACTTCTTTCCTGGAGTCCTGGGCCGGGGTGTGGGGACCTCCAGGCCACCCGGCCAGCAGCCTCCACTGAACATTGAACACGGGCCTGTGGTTTGTTTACGCTCATTTCCACCCACACTCCTGTTGCTACTCCCATTAAAAAAACTTAAAAATGCTGATAATTTGAAGGATAAGAAAATCATACTGAAAAGAAAAAGAGCCTGTCTGGCACATAAATCTCTGAAAGTGATTCTGTGAAATCTTTCTGTGCCATCGGCTCCCTTCCCAGCACTGTTCGCTCTTTCACGATGAGTGAGAAGCACAGGGACAGAGCAGGTGCCACCACAGGGCTTTCTGAAATTGACTGGCCCGTCCCTCCTGTCTCAGGCAGGTTATACACCAGCTGTCGCCCCGTTTGCAGGGCCCCGACCCGTGGCAGACTGGCCGCTTTCCGGCGGTTTTTCACGGCACAAGGGAAGCAGTCCCAATATCAGAAGTTAGCGTTGATGAAAGCACTGGATTTTGTCAAAGAGGAAGGACTGAGAGGACGGCAAAATCCCCAGCACGCTGTGTTCCTGGAAGCTCTGTAGGAGGAGGGGTGGTCACTACTCACCCACGTGTCCTCGTGCGCCCGACCTCCACTTCCTGTCCTTGTGACCTGACCCCATCCCCAAGCCCCTTCTTGAGGTCAGGCCTGAAGGTGTTTTTGTTCTGGCCAATAGAAATATAAACTTGGATTCCTAAGGGACATGGCACCCCAGTTTGGTGCCAAACCGCTGTGTCTCGCCCCAGGTGAAGGGGGATGGTGGTGAGTGACATCACTGCTTGATTCTGGCAGACCCTCTGCCAAGAGGGGTCACACACCTCTCCGCTCCATGTCCAATCCTGGCAGGCTCCACCCCAGTTTCCTCCAGGGAGGCCTCCCTTCCTTGTGAGGCGCTGGCCTCCTGCCTAGATGAATCCTGAGGCGGCAGGTTCATTGTTGTTTTCTGCATCACAAGTGTTCATTGTCTAGCTGAACAAAAACTCATCAGAAGGGAGCTGGGGCTGTCCTGTGGGTCCCTCTGGCTGTGGCCGGCAGGTTCGCTCAGTGAGGGGCAGGCGTGGTACTGTGGACCCAGGTCCTGCGCTGGCCAACCTTGCCTCAGTCAGTCCCTTATCTCTCTGGCTCCAGATGGGCAGGCTTGCCATCGCCTCATTGCCCCTCCCCGCTCAGCAGTCCCATCCCCTCCTGTGGTCACCTCGTTCCTGAAGCCTCTCTCCTCTCTCTGGCGGGAAGAATTGCCTTTCCCTGGAGACACCCTGTTTCCTGTTGGGCGCTGTGCCATAGGTGAAACCCATCCACCATGTGTCGAAACCGAGCTTTGCAGAGGGTTTCCTTGGTCCTGGTCTTGTTGGGGAACGGAGTTGAGAGAGCCCTCACATGGACGGCGCGGGAAGCACTAGGATGCCTGGTGGGCCGTGGTTTGGGGTTTGGTGCCCCTGAGGCCTGTGTATTAAAGAAGATTTTCACCACGTCTGAACATGGGTGAGGGGAGAGGAGAGCTGGAGGGCGGAAGAGCTTGGAAGCTCAGTGTGAGTTTGCACCATTCGTTAGTCACCGTGGCCTTCATCCCCTCGGCGGGTTTCTGTGATCAGAGGGCCTCCAGGGACAGGGAGAAGCCTTAGGACCTCCCATGTGCCCGCACACGGATCAGCTGCCCGGTTTTCTTTTCCTTCTGAGCACTTGGCTTTCCCAGCTCACCACACGGCTGTTTCTTTGTTGGGGCCTAAGAAAATCAGCCTTTGAGAACGAAAAGGGAACTTTTCATGTTGAATGTTGGCTTTGACTTTGAGTGTGTGTGTGTATATGTGTGTGTGCGCACTAGCATGTGCTTCCACAAGCTGTGTGTGTTTACTTTAATGGGATTTTATTTTTGTGAAATTCCTTTCCAATTACGTAGCAAAATTCACCTCCATCTCCCAGTCAAACTTTTGGCTCCACCGTCAGCCCCAGGCGTCGCGAATTTGAAGAATTCTCTTCTGGGTTTCTGAACAGAGATGTGTTGCTCTCAGGAGTCGAGGTTGTGGCAGGTTGTGAGAAACTGACGTTTTAGACATTTCCATGGAGTTTACACCCCACAGTTGAAAGGCGTAAAAGGCTTGGCCCTGGGAGATGGATTCTCGGCTGTGTTTCTCACAGGGCACTCGGAGAACGCAGCCTCTGCCCCACAATGTCCTGCTCTTTCGGTATCTGAGTCTTCACACAGCCCACAGATGGATGCTGTATTCGTTTGCTTATTCTGTACACCACAGCTGAAACACTGCTTTCTTTTCCTTTTTCAGATTTCAGTTCGTTGTGTAAATGGTTCGTTTTTTCTGTTGTGAGCCTTGGGGGTAGTGTCAGGGCACCTTTAGGAGAGTTACCCTTGTGGTCTGAAAAACAAAACCCAGAAGAGTCTTGTTTGATCAGAGGCTCCCTCAGGCCTGCGTCATCCAGAACACGGCCCTTTCTGCTCTGCTGTTGACAAGCACGTTTCCACCAGCTGTATTCAACACTACAATGCAGTTTTAAAACTATATTTGCATCCAAGACAATAAAAAGCCGTATTTTTTTGAAAAGCCTGTGACGTGTGTCTTAAATGCTACCCTGTTGAGCTGTGGAAGAGATGATAAAATGAGATCAGAACAAAGTGATGGCCGCAACTGGCTCCCCCATTCCAACCTTGGGGCGGGTGGTGTGGGTGGAGTGGGCTCAGCCTGGACTGGGGGTGTTGGGGTAAGAAGAGAGGCCCAAGGAGGGGTGCTGATTCTGGAGGTGTGCCTCAAAAGACAGTGGTCCTTCAGGGAGGCCTCCGCTCAAAGGGCCAATGACAAGCACCCAGTGTGACAGGGGCTCACCAGGGCCTGGTGCTCCAGGCCCTTCCCAGGGGGGTGCAGTTCAGTAGTATTTCTACAAACTACCTGTTTCCTCATCTGGACCTGGGGCAAACAGCCCCCGCCCTGTGCACCTCACAGGGTGGTTTTGAGGTTCACGTAGACTCATGGACATCAGGGTGCTCAGTAACCCATGAAGCACTGTACTTAAGAGAGTGTAGGTTATCGTCAGGACGGCCAACACTGGCCCAGCACTGAAAGGATTCTGAGTCGTGGCAGTGGCCCCAGGAGGCCATGGGCTCCCTGCTAACCACTGACCCAATATCATAGATGGAAAATGCTGGGATGTCTACAAGCAGAGATGTCCCTTTGTTGTGCTGAGAAGATTTTAATTATCTCTGTTTAATGTAGAAGCTTTTCTCTTACACACCATCTTCCTGTGCTCCCCACTCCCCCACCCCAGCTCCTTGTGCCTCGGCAGGGTGACCCAACGAGACGAGCCAAGCTGTCCCTTTGCAGGTTGCCTGGCCCCTGTGTGGAGCTGCCGGCTTGTTTACTGAACAACTGCCCAGATCCGTATCTCTTGACTAAAATGCAGTGGGTTGGTACACAGGCTCTTGTCTGATCAAACCCCCACGCCTGCCCTGAGAAAAAAAGTTTCATGACGCAAAGCAAGACTTTGGGCCTTGAGAACCAGGGGCCCTAGGGAGGTAAGTGGCTCATGGACTCCTTTGGGCTAGGAGAAATTCACTGTCCATTGAGCTAATTGATATATGTCTGTTTTATTATGTATAGGATCTTGAAGGATGCTTGGGGCATAATTTGGAGAAGAAGGTAGAGTATGGATAGGCTGGAAAGAGGAGCAGAGTGTCTAAAGGGAGTGAGGCCAGAACACTGGATCTTGTTCTCAGCATCAGCCACTGGGCCACCTTGGACACATACATGGCTGTGGACAATTCTCAAGTTGGTGGTATGATTATTCCCCCCCCCCCCTTTTTTTGTAGTGAGGAAGACTGGCCCTGAGCTAACATCTGTGCCAATCTTCCTCTTTTGTATGTGGGATGCCACCACAGTATGACTTGAGTGATATGTAGGTCCATGCACGGGATCCAAACTGGAGAACCCTGGGCTGCCGAAATGAAGCATGCAAATTTAACCACTTTACCACCAGGCTTGTCCCTGATTATTCTCATTTTTTGTTGTTAGTGCTTTTGAGTCAATTCTGACTACTAGCGACCCTTTGGACAGCAGAGTGGAGCCCTGCCTGGTGTTTTTGCACCATCCTCTCCCCTTCTGGTGCTGTATCAGACAATTCTCTGCTGCTGTTCACAGGGTTTTCATGGCCAGTTTTTTCAGAAGTGAGTGGCTAGGTCTTTCTTCCTAGTCTGTCTTAGTCTGGAAGCTCTGTGAAACCTGTCCACCATGGGTGACTTGCTGGTATTTGAAATACTGGTGCATAGCTTTCATCATCACAGCAATGCACAGCCACCACAGGATGACAACCGATATTTTATACCACTTTATAGAGGAAGAAATCAAGTTGTTTCCAAGGTAGCAGGGCTATGTGGTCAGGGTGAGAAGGCTAAAGGATTGCTTTTTGTCTTGTAATGGCCTCCAGCCACCAAATCCGGAGGAGTCTCCTTGATGTCCTTCCCCTCCTCTCGCCTCCCCGACACCATGTCCTGTCAAGTTTGTCTTCCGAATTTCTCCCAAACACATCGTCCGCTCTTCTCCATCCCACCACCGTCACCCGGGTCTGAGTTGCCATGATTTCTCAACCCGCTCACATGGTGGTGTCCTTCCTTCCGTCCTGTCTTACAATCTCTCTCGTAGTCAGCACTTGGAAAAGTGCAGGTCTAGCCGTCATGCTCCTCTACTCCTCACTCCTCTACTCGGTCCTTCAAGGGCTTTCCCCATAAAGGCCAAACCCTCCTGTTGGCCCCCGCCCCACCCCTCCTGCTGTCTGGCCCCTGCTTCCCTTTCCAACCTCAGTTTTTTTACTCTTTTCAGTACTTTGAACATTCTGTGTTCTGTTTTGTTTTCCTAAGGCCTGTTTCCTCTTCCCAAGCCTTTCCCCATCTCCCTTTCCTTTCCTGGCCAGCTCCCCTTTTCTTCCATCTTTTGTTTTTGTTTTTGTTTTTGTTTTGCTGTGAAAGATTCTTCCTGAGTTAACATCTGTGCCAATCTTCCTCTGTTTTGTATGTGGGCTGCTGCCACAGCATGGCCACAAGTGGTGTAGGTCCGTGCCCAGGAACCAAAGCTGGGCCACTGAAGCGAAGCACGCCAAATTTAGCCAGTACGCCACAGGCCCGTTCCAGCCTTTTCTTCCATCTTAATCCTTAAACATCAGAACGTTTCTTCAGGAACCAGCCCTAGTGTTCCTCTCCCCGACACGTGGGTGCACACATACACACACGTGTACACACAGGCACACACACAAGCACCCTATGTCTATTTCCTCAAGACACTGGTCGTGTTTGTCACTATCATTTATCCTACCTGTCAGGACAGGGGCCCCATGGTCACTGCTGTGCCCAGCACAGAACTAGCACAAAGCAGGTATCAGGTGACCCACTGAATGAGCCCTCAGCCCTATGCCGTCCCACCAGCTGCCCCTTCCCCACGTCCATGTCACAGACGTGGGATGGGGGATCCCTGATAGACTTCAGGGAGGCGGGGGCAACTAGGGGCTGCAGGTGGCAAGTTAAAGTAGATGTTGAAGGGCCAGCCCAGTGGCGCAGTTCAGTTCACGTGCTCCACTTTGGCGGCCCGGGGTTCACCAGTTCAGATCCCGGGGGTGGACATAGCACTGCTCTGCAAGCCATGCTGTGGCAGGTGTCTCACATATAAAGGAAAGGAAGATGGGCATGGATATTAGCTCAGGGCCAATCTTCCTCAGCAAAAAGAGGAGGATTGGTGGCAGATGTTAGCTCAGGGCCAATCTTCCTCAAAAATAAAGTAGACGTTGAGCAAGATTTAAAGGTTGACTCCTACGGTTACATATTTAATATAAAATGTCAACTTTCTGTGAGTCAGTGGCACTTGATTGTTAAAAGTCATGATTTTGGAGTATTTTGATCACAATCATTTGGTGGAGGAGATATTAAATTTGTCACAAAATGCCAAGATCTGCTTATCTTTTTGCCTCTCTCTAGGTTTTGGTGGGTTATCACCAAAAGAAATTCTAATTATCTGAGAGTTCTTGTTAGTTTAGTTCCAGGTAACAGGATTTATCACCTGTGGTCGTCTCTGTCCTATGTTGCTGCTTTCAGGAGGGGCAAAGTTGAATTGGGTTTTCCCTCTTGCATGACGCTGTGGTAGGTGGTCTTGATTTAGAGGCACGTTTCTGCCCTTAATCTCCTCCCTCATTTCCCCTCCAAATTTTTCCTGTTTCTCAGAAATGGGGAAAGCAGGCTTCAAGGCAAATGTCGCCATACCACCTGCATCAGGCCTCAGGGGCTGGTTTAAAAAATACTGATCCTGTATTGCTCACCAGTGGAAAGGAATGAAGCACTGACACCTGCTACAACACGAATGAACCTGGGAAACACGAGCTGCGTGGAAGAAGCCAGACACAGAAGGCCACATGTCGTATGATCCCATTGCTATGAAATGTTTGGAACAGGCAAATTATTCAGACAAAGTAGATTCGGGGTTGCTAGAGGCCGAAGGGAGGGGGCAAAGGGAGGGACTGGTTAAAGGGAACAGGGCTTCTTTTTGGGGTGATGAAAATGTGCTGGAATTCGCGGCGATGGCTGCACAGCTCTGACTATACTGAAAGAACATCAAATTATACACTTGAAATGGGTGAACTTTGAGGGATGTAAATTATAAGTCAAGAAAGCGGTTAAAATACTGATTTCAGGACACAGCCCAGACCTGCTCAATCAGAATCTCAATGTAAAACCAAAGAATCTGCATTTCATCCAAACACCCCAGCAGGATCAGCTCCAGAGTTTGCAGGCCCCAGCACAAAATGAAAGTGTAGGGCCCCTGTTCCTAAATCATTAAGAATTTCAAGACAGTGACAACAGAGCTTTAAAACAAGTGTGGGGCCCTTCTGAGCACGGGCCCTGTTCGACTGCACGGGTCGTGGGCCCGTAAAGCCGGCCCTGTAGCCCAGACTAAAGTTTGGGGTGCTCGACCCAAAGGAAGGAGGGAATTTGGTTAGCGGGTGTGCCTCTCCGGTGGCAAAGCTGTAGGGGGAGGATCTGGAAGTACGAGAGGAAAAATAAAAAACTGCGTAAGATTTCCTTTCCCTGCCAGAACAGTGAAGCGGTTTTAGTCAGAAGACCCGTGGTGGAGTCCCCCAGCCAGCGGCTGAGTCATCTCCAGAACTGTGGGCTTTTGGTGAAAAAAAGAGAAAGGCCCAGGCTGCTGCCAGATCTTCGGGAGATCCTGGGTGGGTCTATCAATCAAGCAACACTGACCAAGTCTTCTGGTTGATTCAAGCTGAATGTGAGGTTTTGAAAGGCTCAGAGGGGCTCGCAGAATCGCTGTGAGCCCTTGCTCACTGGGGACCTCTCCGGGGTGGGGGTGGGGGGTTGGCAGCCACTAACAGCTCAGCCCCTGCTGCCCTACAGACTGGGTCTCACTGCAATCGCCATCTTTCCCAGCAATGATTAACTTTCCACCATCCCTGCTGTTTCGTGTCACTAGTCCCTCATCAGCAGTCTGATTGTATTGCTATGGTCACATGCTGTGACATAGTAAGAAATATATATTTGGTCTCTGCGCCCAGTTCCTCACGCAGAGCTCCTTGTAATTTCCTGAGTGATGGGGATGACAGGAGCGTTTGACACAGAACCCGTAAATCCCTTGGAATTTCCTGGCTGATAGGAGCATCTTTGGTTCTAGTGAGACGACTCTTGGTGGGCTCCTGGATAGCTTCAGGATGGAGGCTGGTCACCAGAAAGACCAAGCCATGATTAGAAGCTTGGAACTTTCAACTCCATCCTCCCTCTCTCTCCTCCTCTGGGGAAGGCGAGGGGCTGAAGATTGAGGTAATGATCAACCCAGCCTACATGCTGAAACCTCCATAAAAATCTCTGAATTATAGGGGTCACAGATCTTCAGGGTTGGTGAATGCATCCATGTGCCAGGGGGGTGGCACAACCTGACCTCATGGGGACAGAAGCTCCTGGGCTTGAGACCCTTCCAGGCCTTGCCTTATGTGCCTCTTCATCTAGCTGTTCATCTGTATTATTTATAATATCCATTATAGTAAACCAGTAAACATAAGTAAAATGTTTTCCTGAGTCCTGTGAGCCATTCTAGCAAATTACTAAACCAGAGTAGAGGGTTGTGGGACCCTCTGATTTGTAGCCAGGTCACACAGAAGTGTGGGTAACCTGGGGACCCGCTACCTGTAATTGGCATCTGCAGTGGGTGGGGGACAGTCTTATGGGATTGAGCCCTTAACCTGTGGGGTCTGTACTAACTCCGGGAATTAGTGTCAGAATTAGATTGACTTGTGGGACACCCAGTTGGTGTCCAGAAGAAATGGAGAATTGCTTGGAGTGGAAACCCACACATTTGGTGTGGAAAGTGGTGTGGGAGTGGAGAAACAGTTTTCCTTTCATGCCCGCACGCTGGCCGCAAGGAAGGCTGGGGAGGCAAATGTCTCACCTTTTCAGCTTCAATGCAGGAAGCAGGCTCTGCCTTCCAGCAAACGTGTCTCAGACTGTTAAGACGTAATTCTCAAATAAAGACAGAGTGGGCATGTGCCAAGGTGTTATTTACCTCCTCAGTGAAGGAATTATCAGTGCAGCACCAACGATTCAAAGGACGATACGAGAAACTAGCATCCCTCTCTCATCTGTCTACCCTCATCAGTGAGGAAAAGAAGGCTGGGGCAAAACGCTAAGGCAGATGTTCAGCTGGTTAATGTCAATAAAACCGTCACCCCCCCAGGGTTATCTTAACGTCTCCACTTGATAGAAATCATTTGCATCTTTCAGTTTTCTACAAGTTTACAGACACTGGGGCCTAATTAATAAATCATGTCAAAGAAAGCCCCATTTCCCGAAAGCAACTCTGTCAAATAGAACTTTCTGTGACAATGGAAATGTTCTGTATCTGTGCTGTCTAATGCAGGAGCCACGAGCCACATGAGGCTGTTGAGCACTTAAAATGTGGCTAGTGTGTCTGGGGAGCTGGATTTTTTTTAAAAAATGTTTTATTTTGAAATAATTTTAGATATACAGAAAAATTATAGATAGTACAGAGTTCTCATCTACCCTTCTCCCACCTTCTAAATGTGAAGGTCTTACATAACCATGGTATATTTATCAAAACTAAGATATTAACACTAGTATAGGCTTAATTTGGATTTTCACCAGTTTTTTCACTAACATCCTTTTTTGGGATCCCCTCCAAGATTGTGTTCAATCCCACTGTCTCCTTGGTCCCCAGTCTGTGACGGTTCCTCCTCTCTCCTTGTCTTTCCTGGCCCTGATGCTTTTGAAGAGCACTGGTCAGGGAGTCTGTAGAATGTCCCTCAATGTGGGTTTGTCTGATGTCACCTCATGAGGACACTGGGCCTGTGGATCTCGGGGAAGAGTCCCACAGAGGGGAGCGAGGCGCCCCTCCCATCGCCTCGGTCAGGAGCGCCTGACGCCCACGGGCCGGGTGTGACCGCCCGGCTCCGTGGATGAGGGTGGGGTCTGCCTTGTTTGTCCTCCCTTGGCTGCTCTCCTTCTCGGCCGTCCTCTGCGCGAGAGAAGCGAGTCCGCACTCCAGCCTGCTGTCGAGGGGAGGGGAGGGGAGGGGAGGGGAGGGGAGGGGGCTCAGCAACACGTCCTGGAGGAGGAACGGCAGAGAGTGTGTGGATGCGAGTTAACCCGCCACGATCGTTAGTAAACATCTGAGGGAAAGTGCCGCGAGGCTACGCAGGTTCCCTGCTTCTCCTCCAAGTGTCGCCCGTAGGTTTCAGCCGTGTGTGCGGAGCCCGCGTGGAGCAATTCGCTCTGCAGTGTTCCAACGGTGACTACCTCTTTCCCTCATTCCTCTGCATTTACTAATTAAAACTCTGTAAGGAACATTTGTCCCTTCTCCTCCGTTTGTTTGTTTATGTCACTGCAGACTAATGGATATTTATTTTGCTCTTTGGAAGGACATATGGTCATCTTTTTGCCTTATTTCCCAGTTTTTGGATAATTTTTCTAGTAATAGTAAAGGTGTTCCAATATAGGACAGTTAAAAAGAATGATAGGTGTCCACCACAGTAGGTGTTTCTGAATGTATTGACCAAAATATTGTCATTGAAGGCTAGGACATTTGGGGGCTTAAAAGCCTGGTGTTGGACTGGAGTGGAAATACCAAGAGTAAGAATGAGAAGAGGTCCAAGGCTGAACTGCATCTCTCAGAGTCCTAACCTCACCTCCCTTATATGAGAACTTGGGAAAATCATAGTCTCTCTTTGGGCCTCAGTTTCCCCCAAAATAAGATGAAGATGAAGGTGCTGATCGACTCTAGATCAGTGGTTCTCAGGCTTGAGCGTGCATGTGAATCACCTGGAGGTTTCATTAAAACACGGATTGCTGGCTGTACCCCCACCATGTCTGGGGTGAGGTCCAGGGATTTGCATTTCTAACCCATTCCCAGGTGATGCTGGTGCTGTGGGTCCAGAGACGCTTTGAGAACCATTAATCCAGATGATCTGTAAGAATCTGGGACCCAACATTTATTCAAACAATAAAATCTTTGGCCCTGGTTGTGAAGCTATCACTGACGAAATGATGGAACAGGTCTTTGCAGGAGCAGAGGCACTGGAAATCCAGTAGGGAATCACGCAGTAGACGTTTGAATGATAGCTCTGTGCCAGGCATGGCGTTAAGTGCCTCTAAGACCCCGTCACTGTCCAGGAGGGACAAAGGTTGGGCAGAGCGGTGAAGAGCAAGCTTGAATCTGAGTCCCACCACTTCACAGCTGTGTGACCTTGGGCAAGTGACTAAATGACTTCTTGCCTCAGTTTCCCCACCACATGGCCTGGCATAAAGAAAATAATAAATGGTTGTTGCTTCTAGAATTGCTATCATTTGCAACTGAGCCTGTCCTGTGGGGAGAATTGGCAGTGACAGAATTAGTATCTGTTTCCACAGCATGTCCCACGTTCCCTCAGTCATACCACCCAGCCCGGATTCCCAGTCCCGCATTTTAACCTTCTCACAAAATCCAAGACAGATTATGAGGAAAATTCAATATAATTTATTAAATAGTTTCCAAGAGCTCCTCCGAGGAGCATTAACTCTCAATACAATAAATATCAATAAACTAACATAGCTGCCACCTCCTACCCTCACAAGGGTTTACTGAGAAAAAGTAACATTTAAGTCTGAAGAAGAAAAATATTCTATAAATACCAAGATGAAAAACAATGACATAACTTGAAATCTTTTACAATTCAACTCATCTATTGATTATCTCAGTCCTTGCAGGACTGGCCCATCTGGGGATTCATTGAGATAGTTCATGGAATCATTTACTTAATAACTGACAGCAGAGTTCTCACACTGAGCTCATCTCTTTTTCAGGCTTCATACGTTTCTGTCATTCTGTAAGGAATCGGTTCAACCAGATGGCCTTAAATGACCTACTGAGCTCTATGTTCCAGGCAGTTTGAAAACCATCGTAAAATGGTCAAGATGAATCTTTTACGTTCAAAGTTATCTGTAGGCATAGAAACTTCTGTTTCTGGTGCATTTTGAAAATTGAGTTTGTCGAGCTGTTCTATGATGTAAAGGCTCTTATCGTTATTTAATGATGGACTGATGGCCTTGAAATAAGGCAGGATGGCTGAGCTGTTGATGTTGCCTGGTGCTTGGGAGTCAGAGGTGAAACATGACGGCAAGTCACTGTCGAATTTTTGCACTCCCTTCTCTTTGTTCAGCTGTGGAAGGAGGGAGAGAAAAGGGTGAGCATTGGGTTTGTAATAACAGCTAGAAATCCCAATGGCTGACATCTGAATGCTTCCCCTGTGACTGGCTTGGGCGAGCTCCTCCTTCTCGCCATAGCATCTAATTGGTGCAACACCCGTCTGAGGCTGCAGTCATCACCATCCCCATTCCCAGAGAAAAATAAAGCTCAAGTGCTGTGCGGAGCTGGCCCACGATCAAGCGGCAGACCCAGGATTCCAACCCACGTCAAGCGGTAATTCTGGAGCCTGGCTACTAACCACTACCCCGTTCTGCCTCCTCTGCTCTATCTAGCTGAGGTCTCCACAGCCTTCTGGAACCTGCTTTTAATGGCTTGGGGGCCCAGAGAGGTGAAGAATAGGAGAGCATCTGGGTTTCCATGCTGCTCCTTGCTCGTTGTGACTCGGCATTAAGGCCAATGTCCCCTCACGCCCCATGGCGGTGGAGAGGGGCAGTACGCTTGCCTGGAAAGGCCTCCAAGATGCCAGGGAGAGTTTTTCCAAGATGACAAGGACTCCAGACCGTGCCCTCTCCTGTCCCTATTCCTAAGAACTAAGAGCTTTTGGGTTCAACTGAAGTGCCATGAGCATCTGATCAGCCTGAACTTCCCAGTCGCCTGGGCTGGTAAACAACCTGTGCCTTTGTGTCTGTAAAAGCCGAGGCTAAGGTTTACACGCCAGGGAGGAAGGGAAGGGCAAGGCCAATTTCCCGAATTGTTTCCACGTTTTGATATTTGTTTGTTTAATCAAAGCCACCTAAGTGGTTCTGTCTTAATCACAACTCTGAGAAAATGAAAGAATATTTACATTTATTCAGCCATACTTTCTTCCCGATGGAGTCAGGCTCAGCAGTGCCTCTGCTAGAAGCCGACCAGGTTCTAATTAAATAAGTAAAGTAGCATGCAAACAGACACCTAATTTGTTAACTGCCCTTCTCTGTGCTAACAGTGACCCACAAGAGGATTTTAATGTCCTGCGTTTGCTGGGACATCATTTATGGCTTAGGTTGGCATTTGCTGCTCCTTAGGGGCTCCTGAATGGGCGGGCAGATGGCCCATCTCTAGGGATGTGCTAGAGGCAGGAAAACTAATTGAATATTACTATGAACGAAAAATGTTAGAGGTGAGCAAGCCTACTAAAGCAAATGCTATAGTACATGAGAAACTGTTGAGTTTTTGGCTGGCTGGGCTAATTCCTGCCTTTGACCCCTACCTTCATAAAAATTCCATAACAGCCTATCTAGTTGTTCCCATCCCTTCCTGGCGTATCCACAGCCCTAGCTTCAGGTCTGAAAAGAATAGGCTTCTTCTGGAGGCAATGTAAGGCGTTTTAAAGAAACAGCTTAGAATAGAAGTCTCTAGGGCACTTACGTAGTCATCCAAAAGTTTCTTAGACAAGTTCTGTAATTCTACGATTATTGCTTGTATTTCTTTTGGTTGTAGCTGATAGATGGGTCCCGTATGAGAGAACATCAAAGTTCCCAAACAGCAGAGCAGGAACAGGGCAAACCTAGTGGATCCTGGAGAAAGAGAACGATGCTGTGAGGCACATGAGGCAGCTACCCCCGCCCACCCGAGCTTCAATCACTTAAGCCATCGTTGAGCAACCACTGGGCCAAGCCCCTCCAGAGGCTTCCTCCCTGTGTGATGAGACAGCCCAAGAACCAGAGGCAGCAGGACGCAGTGGTACCTATATGGGAGACCATGGCGAGAGAGCACAAGGCCTGCTTCAGCACCAGCTTCTTGAACCAGATGTGTTCGCCATGGTCTTCAGGAGATATATAAAGGGCCAGTTGTGAGGAAGAAGAGCAATTAATGTCCCGCCCATGGCAAATTATTGCTCAGCTTTTCTTCAGAAAACACTTTCAAAATTCTGCCACCCAAGGCTGGGTGAAAGCAGGGCTGGAAGGAAATGCTGAGGTTACCCTCAAGGTAGGCAGATGCCTGACTCAGTACACACACACATCTCTCTGCCATTTCTTCTTGGAAAGAGCTTGTTGATTTGACTTGAAGAAAGTTTGAAGCCCATGGTAGACGGGCGCAACCCACAAGGAACAAATGACTTACAGGATTTGCAGGTCAGTCCCCTGCAGGGAATTTCTGGGGAGGGTCACAGTGAGTGTGCGTAAGCATAAAGCTGGCCTGAGGTTTGCAAAAGGTATTATCTTTGGAAATTTCTGAAGCATGCCTGTGCCAGTGTGCGGGGACGGCCCAGATAACCACTGTGAGCATAGTGAGTCAAAGTATTCCTCTCCACTCTGCTTGACCTCGAACATCATCAGACTCCCAACTGCATCTTTGCAATCGCAGGGCCTAGAACCAGAATCTGTGCTCAAGAGGTATTTGTTGAAACCTCTTATTCATATTTTGAGTGCCAACTTTGACCAGACACTCTTCCAGGGTCTCAGGAGTGGAGGTGAAGAAGTTAGGCAAGGTCCCTGCCTGCAAGGAGCTGGCGTTCTAGTGGGCAAGAGGCAGACAATAAACAGTGTGAACAAACAAGAAAGCTTTGGGCAAATGATAAGAGCTATAAAAATACAACAAGGTGGCGCGATAGAGAGTGATGGGGAGACTCTGTAAGTCAGGTGACGAGGAAAAGTCTCTCTGAGGAGGTCGCATTTAAGCTGAGACCTGGAAGATGAGAAGTAGCCTGCTGTGAGAAGATCTGGAGCCCTCCAAGCAGAGGGGAAAGCAGTGCAAAAGTTCTCAGGTGAAAATTAGCTTGATGTGGTCAGGAACAGGAGGCAGGTCATGGTAGTCAGAGTCAAGTGGGAGAAGGGAAGGCCGGTGGAGAGGGAGGCAGAGGCCGGGCCTCGAGGGTCTTACAAGACCATGATGAAGAACTTGTGCTGAGGCACCACTGCTTGGCCATAGGTAGGGAAACATAGGATCTAGTGGACTTTAAAAAGCAAGAAACAGATAGGCTGCTAAGTGGAGAAGGGATTGTGGCAATCCAAGATGAAACCAGAGGGACCAATTAGGAGGTTATGCAACTGTCCAGATGAGAGATGACGGTGGCTTGGACCAGGGTGGAGTGGATGGAGATGAAGTCTACAGAACTGGTTGGTGGACTGATGTGGAGATGAATCAAAGAGAGAAATCAAGGCTGGCTTCTGGATCTTGATTAAGCAACTGGGTGGTTGATGTGCAGTGAGAGAAAAGAAGTCTGGAGAGGGGAAATCAGGAATCCTGTTTGGAATGAGTTAAGTTTGAGATGCCCACTGAGCTTCTACTCGATGTCAGGTCGGCCATTGGATGGGACCCAAGAGCTCAGGGACGAGGTCACACCTGGGGGGGTCCACAGAACCCAAGAACCACAACAGAAGAGACAGCCAGGAACCCCCTTTCACCCTTAATCCCAAGTCCCCCTTCAGCCACTGCTCTTTCCTCTTCTTATCCAAGATGCTTCTTTTATTTTTTTAAAGATTGGCACCTGAGCTAACAACTGTTGCCAATCTTCTTTTTTTTTTTCCGTCTTCTTCTCCCCAAAGCCCCCCAGTACCTAGTTGTATATTCTAGTTGTGAGTGCTTGTGGTTGTGCTATGTGGGATGCCACCTCAGCATGGCCCAATGAGCAGTGCCATGTCCAACCCAGGATCCAAACCAGCGAAACCCTGTGCCACCGAAGTGGAGCGTGTGAACTTAACTACTCAGCCACGGGGCCAGCCCCTTATCCAAGCTTCTTGACAGAGTGGTCTATGCACACTTTTTCCTCACTTCCCAAACCACCACAATATGTTTTCACCCCAAGAATATATTGAAAATCCCCTAGCAAAGTCTGTGATAGGCAGAATTTTGCTCCTATGATGTTCACCCTCTGGTGTTTACTCCCATAATTATGTCATCTTACATGAAAAAGGGGACTTCACAGATGTAATTAAAGTTACTAATCAGTTGACCTTAAGATAGGTTGATTACCAGGTTGGTCCAATGTAATCACATGAGCCCTTAAAAACGAGAGTAGCGCAGAAGAGGAAGTCAGAGAAATTCAAAGCATGAGAAGGACTCAACTTCCCTTGCTGGCTTGAAGATGGAAGGAGCCACGTGGAAAATGTCAAAGGAAATTAATTTGGCCAACAACCAGTGAGCTTGGAAGAGGACCCTGGACCCTAGGTAAGAACATTAGCTCCAGCTGATACCTTGACTTTAGCTAGGTGAGATTCCGAGCAGAGAATCCAGTTGCACCATGCTGAACTTCTGACCTGCAGAAACTGTGAGACAGTGACTTTGTGGTTTTAAACTGCTGAGTTTATGGTATTTGTTACAACAGCAATAGAGAACTAGTATAGTCTCCAGTGACCTCATGCTGTCAACCTTACTGGGATTTTTTCAGCCTTCGTCTTACTTGACCCCTCTAGGGTATGCAATGCTACCGACCACTTCCTCCCTTCTTGATAACTTCTCTTTCCTCTCCTTCCATGACCACATTATCCTGGTATGGTTTGCCTCCCTGACAGTGCCTTCTCAGGCTGAATCACCTTCCGGGTTGGCCCTTTAATGGACGTGTCTCCAAGGGCCCCATCCTTGATCTATGTTCCTCACACTTTAATGTCTCTTTCCTTCAAACTCTAGATCTAAATGTCCAATTGCTTAATGAACATCTCCAGGTGAATGTCCCACCCGTATCTCACACTCAATGTGTCCAAAGCCGAGGATCTGAACCGGGGTAATAGTGAGAGTGGAGATGAAGATATGTGGATGGATTTGAGAAATATGTAGGAGGTAAAATTCACAAGAGAGGATGATTGAGTGGATGTGGGGATAGTGGAAAGGGAAGAGTTGAGCACAACTGTAAGGTGTCTGGTTTGGGCAACTGGATGGATGGTGGTGTTACAAACAGAGAGAATCACAGGGCTCAGGTGAAGTGAAGAATTCAGTTTGTGGTGTGGTGAGATAGAAGTATCGTGGAACTCTCAGATAAAGACGTACAGCTGCATTAGACATCTGGATTTGCAGCTTGAAGGAAGGAACTAGAGACATAAATTTGGGTGCCATCTGTATATTGTGGTTGATAAAACTGTAAGCCTACAAGGGATGAGCGATGTGAGACGTGTAAACCAAGTGTGGAGCCCTGGGGCACATTCCATCAACAAAAGAGGGAGAGGAAGATGACTTAGTCTGGAACAATGAGAAAGCACGCTCAACAGGGAAAGAAATATGCTAGAGAAAGGTGTTGTCATGGAACAAGGTGAAAAGTGGTTTGCAAGAAGGAGGAAATGATTGGCACCATTATAAGCCATGGAAAGGTCAAATAAGATAAAAGCTGAAGAGATTTACCAGGTTTGGCAACATGAGGTCACTGGGAACTTTGCTAGGGGATTTTGAATAAATTGTTGGGGGTGAAGGCCATGTTGTGGTGGCTTGGGAAGTAAGGAAAGTGTGTATAGCCTGCTCTCTCAAGAAGCTTGGATAAGAAGAGGAAAGAAACAGCAGTGGCTGAAGGGGGACTTGGGATTAAGGGTGAAAGGGGGTTCCTGGCTGTCTCTTCTGTTGTCTGTCTTGGGTTCTACAGATCCCCCAGGTGTGACCTCATCCCTGAGCTCTTAGCTGCCATCCAATGGTTGACTTGCTGTCAAATAGAAGCCCAGTGGGCGTCTCAAACTTAACTCATTCCAAACAGGACTCTCGATGTCCCCTCTCCAGACTTCTTTTCTCTCACTGCACATCAACCACCCAGTTGTTTAATCAAGATCCCAGAAGTCATCCCTGATTCATCTTCTTGATTGGTTTATGTCACTATAGACTCATGAATATGTGTTTTATTCTTTGAAGGACATATGGTTCTCTTTTTGGCTTATATCCAAGTTTTGGAGAATTTTTCTAATAATAGTAAAGGTGTTCTGACATAGGACAGTCAAAAAGAATGATAGATGTCCACCACAGTGGATGTGTTTGGAAGGATCACATCAATAAATTGCACTTCCTCAAAATTAAGATGTTTTGCTCTTCTAAAGACACTTGCACAGAGGATGAAAAGACAAGCCTAGGCTGGGAGAAAAATATTTGCAAACCACATATCTGACAAAATATAGAAAGAATAGAATATATTGGGGCCAGCCCTATGACATAGTGGTTAAGTTCAGAGTGCTCCACTTCAGTAGCCCAGGGTTTGTGGGTTTGGATCCCAGGCTCAGACCTACACCACTTGTCAGCCATGTTGTGGCAGCAACCCACATGCAAAATAGAGGAAGACTGGTACAGATGTTAGTTCAGGGCAAGTCTTCCTCAGGGGGGGAAAAAAAAAAAAAGAACAATATATAAAGAATGCTTGTTACTGAAACTGGCAAAGAGTTAGCCATTGATGATTAAGTAGCTGGGAACTAAAGTTTTTTTCCTTTTTGCAGTGACTGATTATAGCTTTTAGCTGTTTAACCCACCCATTGTTAACTGTGCTGTTTAGGCAATATGCTCTCTGACACCCACTAGGCTCCTATAGATAACATCTTGCTGGAGCCTGGGTCACCATGGTATTGGGTGTTTGAGCTGTTCATCAGGAATTAGAACTCCTTTGTCCACTCCA